GTGCAATTAAACCCAGTTTCCCTGACTTCCTGGCTCCGATCGCCTATTTCCCTGCTCGCCCGAGCCCGAACGTGACACATTGGGCTTGACAAAAGAAAAAGAAAGCTTTTGAAAAATTGCCAGTGTTAAGAAAAACGAGGCATGTACTTCGGGTCTAAAACTTTTACCATGTTAATGAATCCCAGCTTTTCCACAGTATGTATGGGCACCATGTCTTTTGCACTATACATCGCGACAGCGTTTGCTATCGCCTTCCATCGTGCCCGATTCTTATCATATGGCACATAGTTCGAAAATGTGTCAGGGACAGTTGCTTGCTTAACTTTGTTTGTTGTGCTGGTGCTATTTTCATTTCGCTGGGAGCGGCACTTCTCCCACTCCGCTGCGTGCCTCTGCTTTACATGCTGGAATAAATTAGTCGCTCTGCTTCCTTTGGTTGCAGCAGTTTTTAAAGTCTTTGCAACGAGGACTTGTTTGGTCTGTGTCCGACCTCGCAAAACCGAACCAATTCCATATTACAGATGTAGCAACACCTTTCTTGGGCACAAGCGTCGCATTAGTTCCGCTTTTGGCGCTCGTGTAAAATCGATTTTCATGAAAACATATCGTCCTGAACTGTAAATTCGAATTAATCGATTAAATCGATTTATCACCCAGCTCTAGTACTGTGGGAGGGTTTAATACAGCTGCAAAGAGAGTGATGTTGAATTTTATATCTTTCACTAATGTAGGTGCTGTACTGTCGTCATGGTTATATCAGGTTTCATGAGTCAGGCGAAGTGATATCAGATAGCACTGGCAATACAAGACAGGAAGAAATGGCAGCAACCATGTCAGAGGATAATGCTGAAAGGGAGGAAAGGGCCTCAACATCACTCAATACTGTTTTCTCAGCCAGTGCCAGCCCATCTGCAGAGCCTGCCACTGAAGGTGTCCCTATCGAATTGACCATACCACTGAGCACACCTTTCTCTGTATTACCTTTTTAGTATACAAATAATTTTTCTCATACTACAAAACAACAGGACATCTATCAGGGATGTTAATTATATCAGTTAATCATATATTTTTGAAGAATTGTTATCAGTAATCTGTGTTTTTATAGAGTGGAAGATTGAACCGGATCTTGAATCAGCTGCCCGGATGTATCGAAGACAGATCTTAAAGAATGCCGATGACAAACCAGACCAAGTTGTTACACTAGATCTGCACAGCTGTGAAAAGGATCGTGAACGAGAAATGTTAGCTTTTTATAAACGTCCAAATGTTGATTGGACAAGTCCATTAACTGTAAAACTTAAAGGTATGTATTTATTAGTGCAAAGTAGCTCTGCTTGTTTGCATTAGTACTTGGAGATTACATACAATTTAATAATCCTCAATTAAACAGGTGATGCTGCACTAGGGGATGGAGTTAAACGGCACTTTTTCACATTGATAATGGAAAAGCTCCACCATGGATTTGAACTTGACATTGGTGAGTTATAATTGAAAACATTTTGAAATGTTGTGCAGACCTTCCTTCGCCTCCATTTTAGTCACTATTAAAAATACAGACATAATGGATATAATACATTTAAACTTTTTTTTTTGTAGATTTAATAGTCATGAGCATAATATAGGAAGAGATGATTAAGTATGTTCATCTGAGTGCATTATACTTGTTATAAATTTTTCAGATAACTGTGGCAAAACGCTGTTCTTCAATGGCGAAGATGATCACAAGGTTCCTTCAACATCCAGAGCACTCTTGGATGGTGATCTGTTCAGAGTTGTGGGAAGAATGATTGGACATACATCTATGAATGAAGGTCCACTCTACTCAGGACTTAGTCCAGCTTTCTTCCCCCTTTTAAGTGGCGTTAAGGATGATACTCCAGTTTTGGAATTGCGTCAATTATGCTGGCATTAGGTATTTTCTGTCCCGCAGTTTGCCCTCTAGTGGTTGTTTTTGTGTATTTTTACTCTGCAAGATCTAGTCAGAGGCAGTTTCACCTCTGTTACTCTGTTGCCATCCATGCAAGTTGATAAACGGCATCATCTGTAAGTAATATTGTTTGTTATCACTAAGACGACTTGTGTGCATTATTATTTGTTGTGAAGGCGTGATATAGTTTGTAGTTTGGATTTAATTTGAATGCATGTATATCCTAAGCTAGTAAGGTTAAGCTAGCTCATATGCCATGTAGCTCCTTTAACATCTTGATCATGAGCGTGATTTCATTTGATGTTTTATTCGGGCACTCACTAAACAGATAAATATTGTGCTCATATTTTTGAATATGTGACTTACTGGTGTGTTTGTTATATTGTAAATTGGTGCAACATTTTTATTGGTTTATTTCTGGTTTGTCAACAGTTTCACACTTTTTCCTTATTAAATCATCCAACTCAACACATTGGCCTGTTCCTTGGATTTTGATTAGGAGAGTGTTTAGCTGTCTGTATAGCTGAGTCTACGTTCACGAGGACAACACTTAGGTGAGGACAGAACAGTGAAAAGATGGACCATCACATCAAGCTGTGAAGGAATCTCGGCAGCCCATTCCTTAGCCACCAGTATCCAGTGAGTAGAAGAAAAACACTAAAGAGGCTACGCTCGCTGCTTCGGTATCTTTTTCCTGGATTTGAAGACCCATTCACCTGCCTGTATTAAACGATGTCAAGCTCAAACCCTATCGACGCCGATAGCCTGGAGGTTAGGTCAGAGTGTGCTGCCTCAGCTACATTTTCCAAGCAAAGTTCGAATAAATCTTCAGCTAGTGCCGCTGCTGCTAAAGCTCGTGCCAAGGCGGAAGCTGCACGCACGCGAGCAGCCTATGCAAAACGCCAAATAAACATACAAATAGAGAAAGCACGCATAGAGGCTACATTGAATGCACTAAAAGAAGAGTGTGAAGCCGAGGCTGCCTCAGCAGAGGCTCAAGTGTTTGAGGCTGCTGCGGATTTAGACAACTGTGACCTTGGGAGTAAAGCCAGTCGTGCTCAAGCATCGAAGCAGTCATTACAGCGAACTGGTGAGTTCATCCAAGCACATTTCTCTTCAGGGCAGAGTTACGCTCAAAATAAGAAAGAAACAGAGCCTGCTGCTTCTGTACTACAACACAGACAGCTCCCAGATATCGAAGTTCACCGCGTCAGTCGTGACACACAACAGCCGGATCCTTCTGCTTGTTCGGCTGAAGGCCTGCGCCCAGGCAATCAGAGAAAAAATCGCCCTGACCCTCTGTCTTTTAACACAGATGGAGATGTTCCCTCCATGCACACACATCACTACACAGACTCAGCAAACCAACTTCCACCCCGCTCACCATTGGACGCTCGAGGTGTGTCTGAGTTAGCTGTATATCTGGCGCGTCGAGACCTTGTCACAGCTGGACTAAAAGTGTTTGATAACCAGCCTGCTAGTTATCTGTCATGGAAATCTAGCTTTGTTAACGCTGTGGAGGGACTTAGCCTCAAACCTAGTGAAGAACTGGACCTGCTCATTAAGTGGCTTGGTGGGGAGTCGCTACACCACGCCAAGAGGATAAGGGCAGTTTATGTCAACAATCCATCCATGGGTTTGAACATGCTTTGGCGGAGGCTGGACAAGTGCTATGGCTCTCCAGAGGCCATTGAAGCTTCTCTCTTCAATAGATTGACCCATTTCCCAAAGCTTTCAAATGGAGATCACCAGAAGCTTCAAGAACACGGAGACCTGCTCCTAGAGATCGAAGCTGCTAAGCAAGAGGGATATTTGCCAGGGCTCAGCTTCCTAGACACTGCAAGGGTGATAAACCCTATAGCGGAGAAACTGCCCCACAACGTCCAAGAACAGTGGATAACTCAGGGGTCTCGCTATAAGAGGGAGCACCAAGTTCCATATCCCCCTTTCTCATTTTTTGTGGACTTCGTGTATAACTATGCAGAGACAAGAAATGATCCTAGCTTTGCCTTTGCTAACTTCAGTTCAGCTGCATTCAAAGGTGACGGACCCTTCTCCAAACAATGGAAGTCCAAACCACCTATATCCGTAAGTAAAACTGAGGTAGGAAGCCCCCCCACCTCTCATTCCTCCAAAGGACTCAACATTGATCTGGACAGAGAGTGTCCTCTCCACAAGAAACCTCACTCCCTCAGGAAATGCCGAGGCTTTCGAGAAAGATCGCTTGCAATGCGAAGATGCTTCCTGTTGGAGAACTCCATATGTTTTAAATGTTGTGCTTCAGCAACCCACCAAGCTAAAGGGTGTAAGGCTGACACCCACTGCTCTGAGTGTGACAGCGACCGGCACATCGCAGCACTCCATCCTGGACCGGCACCTTGGGCTCCAAGTTCCAGACCACCTTCTGCAGAGCATGGTGGGGAGCCTACTGAGTGTGCCACTGACATAGCAGCCTCTTCATGCACAGCCGTGTGTGGTGAGGGTCTTAAAGGTAAATCATGTTCCAAAATCTGTCTGGTCAGTGTGTATCCCAAGGGTCGCCCAGACCAAAAGGTGAGGACATACATTATGCTGGATGACCAAAGCAATGTGTCGCTGGCCAGATCAGCATTCTTTGACATGTTTGACATCCAGGGTGAGGCTTCCCCCTATACCCTCAAAACATGCTCAGGAATCACAGAGACTGCTGGAAGAAGGGCCTCTGGATTTATGGTGGAGTCAGCTGATGGACAATTGCACTTATCATTGCCAACTCTTATTGAGTGCAACCTGATTCCCAATAATAGGGACGAAATCCCTACTCCAGAAGCTGCCCAAAGCCACAAGCATCTCAAGTCTATTGCTGACAGGATTCCTCCTCTTGATGCGTCGGCAGAGATACTTTTGCTACTTGGGAGGGACATTATCCGAGTTCACAAAGTGCGCAGTCAGCGCAACGGTCGTCACAACAAACCCTATGCCCAACAACTGGACTTGTGTTGGGTAATAATCGGTCACGTCTGTCTCGGTGGGGCTCACCGGCTAACTGCCAACACATTTAAGACCAATGTCCTTGAGAATGGATGACCCAGCTACTTCAAGCCTTGTGAGAACAGGATCATCTACAAAGATAAGGTCATGGGGGAACAGCTAATATCCCCTGACACACTGACTTCCACTCAGCCAAGCTTAGGTGAGCTGGTCTTCAGCCATTCAAAAGAGGACAATAAGCTGGCACCCTCCATCGAAGATGAAATCTTCCTCCAGATCATGAACAAGGAGTTCAAGAAAGATGATTCCAACAGCTGGGTGGCTCCCCTGCCATTTCGTAGTCCAAGACCACGTCTACCAAATAATCGAGAGCAAGCCCTCAGCCGACTGATGTCACTTCGCCGTACCTTGAATAGGAAACTGGAGATGAAACGTCATTTCATAGACTTCATGGAGGATATTTTCAAAAATGGACATGCTGAGCCAGCTCCTCCACCAGAGCCTGAAAAAGAGTATTGGTATTTACCTTCCTTTGGTGTCTATCACCCCCAGAAACCGGGAAAAATAAGGATCATCTTTGATTCAAGCGCACAGTTCAAAGGCATCTCATTGAATGATGTGCTCTTACAAGGCCCGGACCTCAACAACACCCTAATTGGGGTCCTCATGTGTTTCAGAACGGACCCAGTTACTGTGATGACAGACATTCAACAGATGTTCAACAGTTTCCTAGTGAGAGAGGATCATCGGGACCACCTCCGATTCTTGTGGTTTCGTAACCACCAACTTGATGACAAAGTGCTAAGAACATAAGAACTATACAAATGAGAGGAGGCCATTTGGCCCATCGAGCTCGCTTGGGGAGAACTTAACTAATAACTCAGAGTTGTTAAAATCTTATCTAGCTCTGATTTAAAGGAACCCAAGGATTCAGCTTGCACTACGTTATCAGGAAGACTATTCCATACTCTGACTACACGCTGTGTAAAGAAGTGCTTCCTTAAATCCAGTTTGAAATGTTCTCCCGCTAATTTCCACCTATGGCCACGAGTTCTTGTATTTGAACTAATGCTGAAGTAACTATTCGGTTGAACAGCATCCAAACCTGTTAGAATCTTATAGACCTGTTGCTTGAGGCTGAACAGATTTAGCT